AGTGCAAAAACTAAAACCAAAACACAAAGAAAGACCCTAGCATATTTTGCCTTTATCTTTTGTGACACATTTCGGGAACGGACTGCATGGCGATCGGATCCCACAAACGCAGACATAAACAAAAGTCCTTACAAAAATAATTATTTAAGACCAAAAAAATAAAGAAAAAACCCACACTGACAAAGTATAAACAGAAATCGCTGGTCAAAAAAAAAAAAACCAGGAAAAACAATACATGAACAAAAAGCGCTTGCTAAGGCAAGGAAATAGAAAATCCGAGATTATAAACGAAATGACTTGATTTCAATTTCATGAAACAAAAATATGAGCTAGATCAAAGACAAAATAACAAATACTTACAAGGCGAGAGACGAGAGAGTAAAAACTGACGAGATCGAGAGGTCTTGAGAATAACAATTGAGCAAGAACAGCAACAATGTCAATAAGCCGACACCGACTTGGCACTTGGGAAGTCCTTAAATACATGTCTTAACTTGATGATCAAATCGGCAGCAGGCGTGAACGCTGGAGGAAAAGCCCTCCACTGCCACTTGCTGGAGACACACAAGAACAGGATCATGACTTTTTGATTATGAAATATAATTTTTTTCCATGATAGTTTATTGTTTTCTTATTGTTTTTAATTGATATTCTTGTCCGCTCCTTAGGTTTGCACTAAGGGATTTTTCCTTAGTGAGCAAAACAAATGCTTGCCCTGTAACTGCAAAGGCCATGCTGTTCACTGTGAGGACATCACAGGCATTTGCTTTGTAAGTTAATATTACATTACATGTTTGTATCAAACACATAATGTCGATTTCTTTCAGTAAGTGTTGGCAACATGCAGTACAATTGTGATCACTTTGCATAAATTGGTCAAAAAAAAGGCACAACAGAAAAACGCAGTCTCCTCAAGCTAATGCCACACAACCTCGTATGTTTCCATTTTTTTCTTGGAAGCACCATGGAAATATTCACAATACAGGGGAGAAAAGTATGTGAACTTCATGGCTAATGACTTCTCCAAGACCTAACTGGAGTCAGGGGTTAGCCAATAAAGAAGGTGTTGATTATAGCTGGCCTGCCCTATAAAGAACAAGCAACAATTTTGACTTTGCTATTCTCAAGAAGCATTCTGAGACATGCTTTGCACAAAGAGTGTAAAAGAAATTAACTTGATCGAAGCTTGAAAGAGTTACAAAAGTATCTTCAGTATATAGATGGACAGATGGACAGATTGACAAATGGAGAACGTTCAGTACTGTTGTGACTCTCCCCAGGAGTGGCCATCCTCAAACGATGACTGCAAGAAGACAGTGCAGAATGCACAATGGGAAGAAAAATCCTAGATTGTCAGCAAAAGACTTGAAGAGAGCTCTATTTTTGCTGTCTCGGGGCCTGCGTGTATTGCTTATCATTGAAGGAACAAACAATTTGCACATTTACCAAGAGTCCTGACCTCAACCCAAGTGGGATGTTGTAGCAGCACGTGCCAAGAATATTAATGAAGTGTAACAGTTTTGAGAGAAGGTCAAAAATTCATCCTTACTGTTGTCCAACTACAGTCAGCGTTTGGTTGAGGTTGTTGCTGCCAAAGGAGATTCACACTGAGTTGTAGATACTCATTTCGGCAGCTTGTGTTCTGGATCTTGTTCTTTCAGTCACAACCCACAGCTTGTGACCATGAATGAGGGTAGGACTATGTCACCTTTCAACTCAGCTCCTTCTTCTCTATGACAGACAGATACAGAGTCTGCATCACAACAGACGCTGCACTGATCAACCTCAATGTTAGCCACCTAACCCGAGATGTGTGAAATTCTGGTGGGAGGTGGCAGTTGAAACTCTTTCTGACAAGGGATTCTGCTAGATGCTCCCAAAAAACCCTCACAATACGGACCGGCATCTTCCCCCACCATTGGAGCCAATTCACCGCCAGGTGGTGATCAGTTGACAGCTCCGGCCCTCTTTTCACCCGAGTGTGGAAAACATGCGGCCGCAAATCCGATGATACAACCACAAAGTCAATCATCGAACTGCGGCTAAGGGTGTCCTGGTGCAAAGTGTACATATGGACACCCTAATGTTTGAACATGGTGTTCATGAAGGACAATCCGTGACGAGCACAGGAGTCCAGTAACAGAACTGTTCTGATCGGGATAGCTCGGGTTCTGATCGGGGGAGCCGTTCCACCCAAACACACACCTCAAGGTCTCACTGTCAGTGCCCAAGTGAGCATTGAAGTCACCCAGCAAAATGATGGAGACCCCTGACGGAGCACTCTCCAGCACTCCTTCCAAAGACTCCAAAAAGGGTGGGTACTCCGAACTACACTAAACCATAAGCACAAACAATGGTCAGGATCCGTTCCCTAACCTGAATCCTGAAGGAAGCTACCCTCTCATCGAGTGGAGTGAACTCGGAGTTAACAATGTACAGGTGCAAAGCCGGGGGGCAATAAGTATGCCCACACTAGCTCTGTTTCTGTCACCGTAGGCAATTCCTGAGTGGAAAAGTGTCCAACCCCTCTCGAGAGGATGGGTACCAGAGCCCTAGGAGTGTGCGGCGGTGAGTCAAACTATATCTAGTCGGAACTTTCCCTGCCAGAGAGGTGACATTTCGCGTCCCGAGATCCAGTTTCTCGACATGGGGATTGGACCAAGAAGGTTCCGCCTTTGGCCACCAACCAGTTTACTATTCACTCGAACACTTTGGCCACTCCCACAGGGGGTTAGCCCAAAGGAAGGGGGATCAACTTTGTCCTTTTGGGGTGAGCCCGGCCGGGCCCCGTGAGTGCAGGTCTGGCCAGCAGACGCTTGCTTTCGAGCCCCACCTCCAGCCTGACTCCAGAAGGAGACCCCGGTAACCCGCGTCTGGGCAAGGGAAAACTGGATGCAATTTTCTTATTCATCATAAGTTGTCTCTTAGCCATCCTTGGTCTAGTCCCTCACCTTGGACCTGTTTTTCATGGGTAACCCTGCCACTGCCATCAAGCCCCAGACAACCCAGGTCAAGGATCATTTGGCCACTCAAACCCCACCACTACAATAAGGTGATGGCTCATGGAGGGGTTTACGCGTGGTGTTCAGTAAAAACATGGACACAAAATTGTGGGGTATGAATTATAAGAACACTCCGTCAGTCCATTTTTGTGACCTATATCTCCTATATCTACCTATGTAGTCAGACATTCAGGAATTTCCAACGGGTCTCCATACTTTTTCTTCAAACTGTAAGGAACTACTAGACTCCAAGGTCACACTTAGCAGAGGCTTCTTACTTGTAACAAGATCAATCATGTTAATTTTAGGTCTTAAAAAATCTGATCTGTTGTACTTGGACTCTTTCAGAATTGCAGCGATCACAGTATGGGTGATTTCTGTGAAATGTGCGAAGATGGCTACATGCTGGCACCTAGCCAGGTTGGACGCCACAGCTGCCAACCCTGCGCCTGCCCTCTTTCTGTCCCCTCAAATAAGTATGCATGTCTGTTCTTTATCTTCACACTGAAAGTTCAATATTGCTCAGTAGTGCATAGTATTTGGAATAATTTTGCCTGTATTTTTTTTTTTCTGGCCAGTTTTGCAGTCCATTGTGACAGGCAAGGTGACATTCAACGGTGCAAGTGCAAAGAGGGTTATGCTGGACATATCTGTGAGAGGTGAGTACTGGGTGGGCTTATGTTGCCACAGCATTCAACATGTGTCATCCACAGAGGTCGACAAGCACCTGTGCATAGAAGAGATTGACAATGACAATGTATGTCGTTTTTTTCCCCCACCTCCTTCATTATTTATTATTATTTGTTTAATTTTCTGAAATTTAGCTTCATTCCTCTATATCCTCTCATCCACCTATCAAAATAACTGAACCATAGGTTTGAGTTACACATGCATCGCGAAATGTTAGATTTGATCGTGCTGGCTTGAGTTTGACAGCAACGAAGGCCTTATATTCTCCAATAATCGAATACCACATTAAGTGAGAAAAAAATTCCACACTATTAGTTTGAGTCAGGCCCACAAAAATATGATCGAAGAATTCAGAAATACATTTGTTTTTTTGAATTTTGGCTACTGTCCTTTTAGTAAACTTCCACTCGATCTAGCGACAATGTTATTAGGATTCCTTTCTCTGTTTAATGTGTCTCACACACACACACAACACACACACACACACACACACACACACACACACACACATACACACACACACACACACACACACACACGCGTACACACACAGAGTTACACACAGATTGTTACAAGCAGCGTTTTTCATCAACATGTTCAGAATATGTATAAACTCAATGGGCAACAAACTGAAATTTAAAAACTGTTTTGACAGTAAGGGACCTAAAAGCAACAACAAAAACAAAACATAATTGATTGTAAACCAAAAGGTTACTTTGTTGTAATAACGGCATTTTCTCCATCTAGGTGCGCTCCGGGTTACTATGGCATGCCAATGACAGTTGGTGGTTCCTGCAAGAGATGTGACTGTAATGACAACTCTGACCCAAACTTGATCTTTAATTGGTGCCACAATGTGACCGGCCATTGCCAGCACTGCTGGGGCAACACTGGCGGGCCGAATTGTGAGAGGTGTGCACAGGGTTTCTACGGTGATGCCATCGGTGCCAAGAACTGCAGAGGTTTGGGGGCACATTGGAATGCTTACACAGTGAATTAAATTTGTGTTGGTCCAATAACAGACCTGAATGTAGGTAGAACTGCTTTGGAATTCTAAAGGATTGACATAGTTGCTATGGTTAAAACATGCTCAGAATTCTTGAAACACACAATGACAAGAGATATTGTGTTACCTTCGAAACTCCAATTCCAATGACGTGTGGGTGTTGTCTAAAATACATCCTAAAAAGGATTTGCAAATCCTTTTCAACCTTTTCTCAAATGAACACACTTCAAAAATAAGATACAGTGGTACCTCTACTTACGAACGTCTCTTCATACGAAATTTTCAAGTTACGAAACGCCTCAACAGGAAAATTTTGCCTCTTGTTACAAAAGAAATTTCAAGATACGAAAGGTAAAAATACAGAATGGGCTGCTCCTCGCAGCTCCGAGTATCCGGTGTTTTTTGACTGCCGTTTTGTAAAGAACTAATCAGAGGACGTTCGCTTTTGTCGGCTTTTAACAATCCTTCGAAAATGTCCAAGGCAAACATCAGCATAGTAAGCGATCGCCCGACTGGTGAACACTTTCTCTGGGTGATTCACATTTTTGTAAAACTATCAGAACACCTCATGGCCCGAGGGGCGAATAACGAGGATGATGCATCGACACATATCTATGTATCTACACACTTAGGCACGTACGGTAGAAGTCCCTCTTAGCCAATGGGATGCCAGCATGATGTTCGGTAATAGCCAATAGCAGAGCAGCTATAAGTATGTTGCGTTCAGGAAACTCAGAGCTGGGAGGAGCAGCCCATACTGCATTTTTCCCTTTCGTACCTTGAAATTTCTTTCGTAACAAGAGGCAATATTTTACTGTTGAGACGTTTAGTAACTTGAAAATTTCGTATGAAGAGACGTTCGTAAGTAGAGGTACCACTGTATTAAATTGAGTTTGGTTAAAATGGGTGTGCAAATCATTGTATTGTTTTTTTCAAAGTGTTATTTTTAACGCTTTACACAATGTCCAAATTTCATTGGAATTGGGGTTTGTGTTTTAGAGTTGGCGTATGAATACATTAAGGACTTTGCAGCAAAATAGTTATTTTCTTGTGTGTTTTTTTTTCATATGAGCAACATAGATATGTCCTGAAAACATGGTTTTAATGATATGAAGCCTCTTGTTGAGAAATTGCAATTCCAAAAATAAACTTTTCACAATGCCCGTGACATAATTTGACCTGTAACACAATGCTGTGTGTCTTGTGTCTCTCTCAGAGTGTGAGTGCAATAAATGCGGCACATCATCATGTGATGACAGGACCGGAGTGTGTCACTGCAAACCAGGCGTCACCGGACGACTCTGTGACCGCTGTGAGGTAAGACAAACCTGGACCCACTGGTAAATGGTTCATTAAGATAAAGTATTTAATTTATGGAGTTAATTGGAAGATGAAAAAAAAAAATTAAACAAGACGCACATTTTTAGTACTGTAGTAGCACAAGTACACCATTTGAATATTCAGAATTCCTGCCCAAGATAAATAGAAAATAAAAGGTTTACATCTAGTGGATGCAGAGCAAAGACACTATTGTAGGTTCTATTCTATGCGCCTTATAATGCAGCACGCCCTATATTTCAAAACAGTTTTATAATGGCCATTCATTGATGGTGCGCCTGATAATCCGAAGTGCCTTATAATCTAGAAAATACGGTACATACAAACCCAATAATACTCAGTAAGCGGGGGATAGAAAAAATGTACCAGATTTTCACAATTCGCTGGTCGGCCAGGCACATATCCTCACGTACATCTATGTCCGGGGTCTCAAACTCGTGCTCTGGGGGGCCATTTGCAGGATGACAGTGTTCAGCACCCAGCTGCACATCAAAGTTGAATGTTGGAGTCCCCACTTTTTTTGCCATGTTATTGCCAGAGGCGCTTTGTGTGTGTGTGTGTGTGTGTGTGTGTGTGTGTGTGTGTGTGTGTGTGTGGTGTGTGTGTGTGTGTGTGTGTGTGTGTGTGTGTGTGTTTCTTCATCACTCATGGGCTACCATAGCTCAGACTCATGACACCTTTCAGAGAAATGTAATTCTGAAGTGGAAGGAAAAGATATCCTGTCACTCTGTGCCAGTAATATATTTTCCTAAACCTACTTTGAAGAGAAAGGTTGGCGATGAGAACAACCAAATTCAAGAAGCAGAGAGCGGAGAGGCACCCCGACATAACCTGAATGCACATAGAATGTTGCGTTGCTTAAGAAATTAGATGCTGAGAAGTATGCAAAGTACCAGAGAGATGCGAGAGAGGACCGGGTTACCAATCTTGTTCATGTTCTGAAGAACCGTCAAAGTTCTGAACTGTTATTCTTCAAGATTGAGAAGGTTGTATTAGTTGTACTTTTTTTAAAATACTTTTTTGTTGAATTCTTGATGCCAGACTCAAACCCAGACCCTATCACCACATAAGTTGATTTTGTTCTCAAAGTCCTCAACCATTTTTTGTTGTAGAAGTCTCTCAGTGAGCATTAGTACCAAGGAAGGTTGACCTTGGTTAGTGAAGTAGTTATTCTTGCCACTCGTCTATAAGGGCTCGATTTGTGCAGCGTGCGACAAATAGTTGTCCCGTGGACAGATTTGTCCCAGTATTCTTTTAACAGACTTCTGAGACCATCACAGTACAGATTCATTTCTACTGAGACTCGATTACAGACGGGTGGACTCTATTATCATCGCCAGTAACTTAGGTCAACATTAGATCATTCCGAAATCATCAGGGAATTTCTGGAGTGAGTTGGCCGCACATTACAGTTAAGTGTCTGAATAATATTGTATGCCCCGCTTTTCTTTTTCTAAAAAAAAA